TAACACAAACATAGACCTCTTAATACTGTGCTCTGATAAAATGTCTGAAAACTGTTCAGAAGGAGCAGGACGCCCTGGCGCAACAGGCTTCCTGGTTAAACCTACAGTATGCAGCTAAAATAGATTACAGTACTTAAATATAAAAATAGACTCTGGATTTGATTGCTCGTTTTCCGTTCTCCAATGCAGTCTTCGAGATGGACGGATGCATCCATTCGCCGTGTCCGCAGGTCCCTCAGTGGCACATCCGAGAGGTCATCTCTTTCTGTGGCAGACAAACAAACAGCACACAGCTGAGCGAACCTTTCCAAAGCCAACTCCTCACTGATCACATGACAGCACACTGCTGTGGGCAACATACAGGTGGGAAACAAAGAGTGAGCAGTCCACACACACCTGACAGAGTGAGCACTCATCTTTGACAGTTAACAGTAAAATAAATTTGGGTTTCAGAATAATGGAAAGACAAAAAAAAAAAAAAAAATCAGTTTTAAAACAAACACAAACTGCAAAGACTCATTTTTTTAGAAGTCCTGCATTTCTCTGGTGTGCTCATACATGGGTCTTAACTATTGTAGTTTTCCACTCATCGCATTAAGCTGCAGCAATCTGCAGCTTGTACACAGGACATTTTGTTGCAGCCTCAAAACCAGTGACCTAAATCCCTGGGCCACTGAGGCATCACATGACTGCAGTTTTCATTAGCTATACTAAACAAAGGATACAGTTTACCCACAGCTTCACTTTTAAACTCACATCTTCTCATCTATAGCTATCAAGTTATGCATCACCCATTAAGCAACATCATGCTGAAATACAGAGAAGCCACAAAGGTTTTTGGGGAAGTTTAGAAACAGTCTTGCACTTACACGATTTGACCACTAGGGGTGCCAATTCTAATTCCCTAAATCAAACGATATGCTAGACTCAGACTGATCTGATCATGTAGTAATCGGGCTCTTTGTTGTACTTCTCAAAAGATAATTTAAAGGAAATGTGATAGTCTGTTTACCTGGGTTGCCAAACATGAGGCCTGGGGCCAGAAACGGCCAGTCAAATATGGCCCGCTAGTCCTATACATTTATTTCTGACAATTTAAGCCTTAAAAGTCATGCTTACAGATTTATTTCATTCCTTATTACAATAGAAAAACTTTATTGAGTGGAAAAACTGATTTGTGCCGTTAAGCTTACAGGAGGGAGTTTCGCCGGTCCGGCCCACGATGCAAGATTAGCCTCACATCTCCGCTGTACACTGCTCTAAAATGCAGCTTTGTGTCACAGCAACCTTCAAATGCAGCATCTCGGTGTTTTAACATGGGCTGATTATTACACACACACACACACACACACACACACACACACACACACAGCTCAATGTCATCTGCTCACCAGGGGCTCCAGCTCTTTGTGGTCCGTGAGGTTGAACTCGGTGACAAAGTAATAGAAATGCTTGTAGCAGGTGTTGACGTGAGCCTCTGCCCCCATCTGGCTCACGCGGTCAAAGTGGTGGATGTAGACGTGCACGAACACCCGGAACAGACGCGACAAAATCTTCTTAGCCACCTGCATGAATGTCTTAGGGAAGGGAGTACCTGGGAGTCAAGCAGATGGGAGACAGAGCGAGAAGGCTGCGGTCAGTCTGCGGTGACCTTTTATTTGCTCCGGAGTAAACAGACACGTTTGAAATTACTGATGCATTTAATTAAAAGTGAGGCTGGTTTTTCTACATTAACCTTTCCCCGTCTTCTCCCCCTCAGGCCTGGACACCAG